AAAAAATCGTAAAACAACGATGGGCTATTTAAGATGCTATGGTGCTAAGCGGGGAAGCCGAGTCTTCGTCAGGTTATCTGTGTTATGCGGTACCTTGTGAAGGGGCACCGTAGTTGATGCCCCGTTGTCTCCGTGCCTGTAATTCCTCCGGGCGCTGCAACCTGACAAATCGGAAATGGGAGTTTAATTAATTAATTAATAAGACCACAAGTCTTATGAGGAGCGGCTGAGAGAGCTGGGGTTGTTTAGCCTGGAGAAGAGGAGTCTCAGAGGTGATCTTATCCCTCTCTTCAGTTGCCTAAAAGGAGATTGTAGCCAGGTGAGGGTCGGTCTCTTCTCCCAGGCAGCTAGAAATAGGACAAGAGAGCACAGTCTTAAGCTGCACCGGGGGGGGGTTCGGATGGACATTAGGAAGAATTTCTTCACAGAAAAGATGATTAGACATTAGAATGGACTGCCCAGGGAGATGGTGGAGTCACTGTCCCTGGAGGTGTTTACGGAAAAACTGGACGTGGCAATTAGTGCCACGGTCTAGTTGACAGTGTGGAGTTTGGTCGAAGGTTGGACTTGACAGTCTCGGAGGTCTTTTCCAGCCTAATTGATTCAGTGATTCTTCTTTCAGTGTATAGCATTTGACATATGCGTAGTGCTAATTTTCTTTTGACCTTTCAGGGATATTGGCACAGGAGTGCCACTTTGGTGAGTTCCAGAGCTTTGGAAGATCTTATATTGCAGCTTCATATGTGAAATTTGTGGAATCCGCTGGTGCCCGGGCTGTGCCAATAAGGTAGATTTTTTTTATATCCTTAGGAGTGGGTAATAATTGTAAGGGTACCACCTTAGAAACACAGCAAGCAGTTGTGCTACTTTTCTGAGTGTTTATTGCTCCTCAGAGACTATTGGAAGATGTCAGAATTTGCAGGGAGTCTTTAGAAATCAGAATAAAAGCAGAGTAGACATGCACATTTTAATATTTCTTCTTATGTTAATAGTCTTTTTTTGGAAAGTACTAATTCTTTTTTTTCCTGTAAAATTGTCCTTTGTAGTTTGCATGTGTGGTTTTTGAAATTAGCTGTCTTCAGTCTACTGTGTAATGCCTACAAATGCACATAGACCTACTATCTTTTGTCACATTCTGTAGCCATAGAATTCGAGGACTCAAGGAAGGCTATCAGCACTCCTTTAAAAAACCAAAGTCCTATTCTGTTCAAACTATGGGTCACTAACTCAATGTGTTGTATTGTGGTTGTTGGGTAAAAAGTAGCAGACTAAGTAACATAATTGACTATATTCATAGCCAGCAGCTAGCTATAAAATATTAAGTGCACTGAAATCAAATGATAAAATTATAGTTGTCAGAACTTAAAACCTATACTAATACATCTGCAGAAAATCTACACAGTCCAATAAGAGCACCAGTTAAGTGCCTGAATTAGAAGCCAACATTCCTCATGTAGCTAGTGGGACTTTCAGAATGTCCAGAAGCTTCATCCATAAATGGATGCTTCTAATTTTGGCAATTAAGTTAGATGCAGCAAAGCTGGATGCTTTGACCTGTACCCAGTGTATCAGTTCTGCAGAAGTGTAGCCATCTGTGCTATCTAATTTTGTCTTCACAGTGGCTGGTATGGGTCTGTGTGTTGGAGCTGTACTGAACAGGCTTGATAATATAGAGATGGTTTTTTTTATTGCTGAGCAGTGCTTACCCAGAACCTGTGTTTTTCATACTGCCACGCTGGCAAGGAGGCTGGGGGTGCATGGGTGTGACCCAGGGTTTGCAGCTCTGCCCTTCTTGGAGTCAACTGGAAACCGGAGTTGCCGGTCTGGAGGAAATAATAACCATACCATTCCTGTAAAGGGTAAATTTTTTGAGTATCTGCAAAAGGGTCTCAGAATACCTAATCCTGAACTGTACCTGACAGGGCCCTATTTTCAGTCTTGTGGATTGAGCTGTTTCAAGTGAAATGATTAATTTGATCTGCGTCTATTCTATTCTGTTTAAAGCATGCTTTCTACATATTCTCTGTGACTGATGCTTCTGTTCAATAACAATTAGGTTTTTGTGGTTAAATATGTGTATTTCATATGTAGTATATAATTATTTTTTGTGTTTCAGATTAAATCTCACAGATGAAGAATATGACAGAATATTCCATTCTATTAACGGGTAAGTGTTGAACACTGATTTTCTGTTGAAAGACATGATAGTTTCATTTTTGAGCTCTGCTGTATTCCCAAGAACACTGTCTTTCTACTCTTTATAGAGATTGTGCTGGGCACTGCAGATGTGAAAATATGTTCTAAGAGAGAGAGTGCATTATTTCATCCACTGTTGGTGTACTGCCTTTCCTTCCTTGAGGAACACGTCAGATAATCTGCAACAGTGCCAAGGCTCATCTTGGCATTCTCCTGTGCTAGTCTGCAGGCAGGCAAAAGTGGCATCATAATTATTAACAATTTGGCAAGTGAAATATCCCACTTCCTCCTTGTTAATTTTTTCTCTCTTCCTCATTTGAGCTTTCACCTTAATTTTGATGTTTAGTAGCACTTGCTTGGTATTTCATCTCTGTTCCTACCCTTTCCTCAACAGATTTTATTGTGGGCTTAGCAAAGTCAAAACCTTTTATGGTTTTTTAGCTTTGTGTTAAAAGTGCACTTTAAAATCAGCTGATGCTGCTCTCCACAGTCTTAATTGTATCTGAGGCCATAGCATGTGATTGGGTTACTTGTAGTCATGAAGTGAGCATCTTAAACCATGGATATTTTTGTTAAGGTTATGCATATGCTAGAGTGTTAATCAGCATGTGTAGAATTTTCAGAATTTAGACCTTTGGCTGTCCTCAGAGAGCATTGCCCTCATGTACCACAGCATGCCCTGTGCACTAAACCGCTGGGTGTTTGCAGTCTTGTGATATATAACCAAGTATGAGACAGTGACCCTTTGTCCTCTGTGGCTAATCATACTGGAGACAAAATGAATAATTTCATCCCTTTTTTCATGGCTACCAGCCTCTCTTTGGTTACCAAAAGGTCTTTTCACCATTCTTTCTACCTCACCACCTACCTCGATGCAGAATAGGGTGTTAGGCAAGTAGATCTAGTTCCCGTGCCCTTGTGTCTTTGCAGTGACTGTCAGTTGAGTTTGTGCCATGTAGGTGAGTAAGGATGTTCTATATTTCCTCCTGTAGTCCTTCACTGTTACTTAATGGCTTCCACAGTATAACTGTGTGTATAAATAACAAACAAGATCTCTGGAGGGAATTACTTCTCTTTTTATGGAAACTTAGAATAAGAGGGAGATACAATGATCTTTTATGTTGCTTCTTTGCAGTTGGAAATTTCTTATTATTAAATTCTACCTTCTTAAAATCATGACACTAGCTATAGTAGAGACATAATTTTATGAATATAGCAGTGTAGTCTTGAGGTAGCCTTTGAAATGCTCAGTGTACATCATCAGCTCTAACCAGTTAGAGATACTGGAATACACGTAGTTGCATTTCAATCTGCTTATGACAATGTCAAGCCATTATCATTGCTACTTAATGAGTTATTTCCTTTTTGCATTAGCAAAAATGGCAATCATTTTTCCTAATTAGTATTGACCAGTTTTTAGTTTGAACAAAAGGAACAGGTAGAGTGATTTTTTTCACCACTTCCAGGTAAGGATCACCTTATTTGTTTAATTAGATCTCTGAAGAAATCTATAATCTGACCTGTTTTAAAAATACCTGCAGCTGTGTTAATTTTTAGTGTTGACACTGGAGAATAATCTGTTTTATATTTTTGTGAATACTACTTTTCCACATAGTACTTGGTGGCTTTTGCATGATCCTGTGTGTTATTCACCTTAAAATAAACGTGGTCACAAGAGTTTAAAAGCACAGTTGCTCTGCAAAGGCTTGAGATCACTTGAAACGTTAGTTGTTTCTAACTGCTTGTATCTCACTGATATGGGTTGCTATTTCTAGAGCACAGAAATGCTGAGGAAATCCTTCAGCCATTTTGGTAAAAAATCAACAACTAGTAGATATGACTTGAGTAAATCTAACTGAGGTTCTGCAGCAGTGGCATAAGGAGTGCTCACACATGCAGTTCTGTTCTCTGGGCACTGTTGCAGACACAGCCAGAAGAGGCTTCTTTTATTTCATGTTACTGTTTTGATGGTATTTGGTTACTTTCTGTGTCATCATGTGTACATGTGATATCTCTGCTAGATGGTACTGAATCTTTTTTGTGGTATTTGGGTTTGGGAATCCACATGGGGAATTGCTACTGCTGATTATTTTTTGTGGGGGAAAAGGCTTGTGCACTATTTTTTTGAAATGGTTTCTGAGATTGCCATAGGATCCTGCGTGACCAAAGGTTATAACCTAAAGTACTTTTTTTTCCTTTTTAATAGGAACTTTTTGATCTGTGTTGACTGCAATAAGAAGATCACTCTGCCAGGGCTACCGTACTTTAATGAAACTGAATAGAATGAATTAAGAAACTGAATAGAATGAATTAAGAAAATTGGTAGTAAGAGCCAGCTAAGAGTCAGGACAGGACTTGACGGAGTCATAGCATACAACCCTTTTGTATACCAGCTGAAATATGTATGTTTTATGTATTTTCTGTTTATTCTCTTCTATATGTTGCAGTAGGCTTGATTGCTACTTTGTGATAATAATCATTCTTCAGTGGAAGAACAGTAAGATTTAGGATATGATTCAGTTAAAGACTAAACACCTAGACTTATCTGTCTGCATGTGCACTAGCTGTCCAAAGTCACACCATTAGTGGAGTGCTAGTCAGCACAGTCAGTGGAGCTGACAGGGATGTTCAACCTACCTACCCACTGGTAGAAAACTGCTCTAGAAAACCTATTTGAACCTCCAGTGACTTTCCTGACTAGATCCCTGCTGTCCATAATGGAAGTACAGATGCCTGTCTGCAGATTTCTGAAACTTAGACCTTAAAACTGCTGTCAGACATTGCTCTGTGTACATTTTCTGCATTCTGGTTTTGTCACTGTTGCTAATCATATTCTTGGATGTTGCCTTTCAGGGTACTTTTTCCAGGAGGTGGTGTGGATCTTAAGACTTCAGAATATGCGAGGGTTGCTAAGATATTTTACCACAAGGCGTTAGAGGTAATTACTGAGGAACAGTCTGTTCTTGTTATTGTCACTGTTCAGAGATCAAAATGACAGGCTCATATTTTTCAGTTTTGTGCTGGCATCCAGTGTGTTAACTGTAAGCCTGAAAATAGGTAGCATATTTCTTTCTTCTGCATTAAAAAAAAGTAATTTAGCAGCTTATGATTCAGACTTCTGACACCCTCTTCTGCTCAGAAGGGATTATGGAGAGACTCTCAAATGAATCTGCAATAGCGTAACACTAAGGCCTCCCTTCACATATGTTACAGCAAGTGAAACACCTTTATTCTACCTTATCTCTAAGTAGATTTAAATATATCTGTGGAGGTGCAGATGATGGATCTATATTATCACCTTATATCGTTTTACCTATTTCTTTGCATTGGTAACTTTAATATAGCAGATTTTTAAAGTAAACACTAGCTTAATATATAACACACAAAAGAAGTGGGAAGAGCACTTGAGAGGTTGTATTAATTATCTCTAAATGTTTATATGATCATTAACTTTATTAAGAAAAGATTGAATTTCTGAGAAAGCTGTTTCTTTTAAAGAACAGCAGGAAGATTCTGAATCCTTATTAAAGATTTAATTCTCTTAGAGCAGAAGAGTTTCAGGTACAAAGCACACATTTTGAGGTTAAACTTGCTTTGTGGAAAGGCATGGAGATGCGCTGAGCTTTATATACAATCCCTGTGATTTGTTAAGAATCTCCTGTAATCAGATTGAATAAAAACATACCTTTTCTTCCTTTTTTCCTCTTTACCAACTTTATTTTATTTTCAGCTAACATTGATTAAATTTGTCACAGAAGCCTTACTTTGGAAAACTTTGCTCTGTTCTAAAGGTAGTTATGAGTAGTGCTTAAAGTGTTACTGTGGTAGAAGTGTTCACTGGCAGTAAGGAATTCCTCTTCTACTCTTGCTGCCAACTTTCCAACAGCAAGCAAGCAAAGCATAGGCAATGGCATTCACAGGACCAGTCACTGCTACAGCTCAGTAATTAAGTTCCCTTCTCTTCAGTCCCCGTGACACCAATGTTTTTATTCTTTTGTCTGTCTTTATTCGTGGTGATTGTTAGTCTGTTGCCTTAAACCTGAGTCTTGCAAGGATTGTCTCACTTCTATATGAGACAGTTAATCTCATTTGTCTCTTTGGAACTGCTCACTGTGTGAACTGCAACCTGTCTCTTGGTATTCAGTACTGGGGCAAGTGTTTCTTGTGGTTTGTTGTACTATTATGAAATTCTGTTTACATTTCACGATGATGAACTGAATTGCCTATGTCATTTTATGGTCAGAGAGGCAGGTTTATTAGCTGATGTGTGTACTACCAGTGAATGAAAGGCAGAAAATAATTTTCAGTTCATCATAGGTAACCCTCATTAACAAGCCAGGGTTTTTCTTTATCTTTTCTGTTTGATTTTGTGTTTTGATTTTCATCTTTCAAGACTAAATTAGTGCTATAAAATATGGGTAGTTTTACTAAGGTAAGGTAAGCTAAAGCTGAATTTTATGTTTTCCTAAAACATGTCAGGTCCTTTTCATTTGCCAATGTTCACAACGAGAAATTACTTTGATCTGGCTCTGCTTTAATATGAATAGAGGATGAAAAATGCTAATCTCCAGTCAAGTCAATAGAATTTTACTAGCTAAGCAAAAACCTAAATGAAATACTGTTTTCCAGCTTTTAAATTAGTTTTTAAAATGTGATGTCTTGGGTGTTGTTTAGTATATGCTCAGCCTCCATACTATTGTTTATTTAAAAAAAGGGGAGGGCAACACAGAATCTTTATGTCATTAGTAATTGCTGTTAAGCTGTAGCTTATTGTTTGCCTTCAGTGTTTTAAGTCCTCATTTGCAACTCCACTGTCTATCTTTCACGTAAGTCCTGTGCCTAGCTGCGCGTGACGGGTGGTCGTGAGGGCTGCTATTAGCCTGTTCTCCACACATGTTCTATATCTTGCTCTCAGAAGTAGTTCTATGGGTTTTTATTACCATACTGTCTGAAATGCAATAGGGTAACACTTTTATTCTAAGCCCGTCATTTCAGGTTTCTCAAAAATGGCTTTGAACAGCAGCTCTCCGGGTGCGAGCTGGGTGTGTATGTGTGTTGTGGTATGTGTAACTTTAAAATGTTTAGAATCAAGTTAAGAAAGACTACTCAGATTTCAAAAAAAACAGGAGTTCTGAAACATGTCCCAGTCTCTAACATGTGCTTACTATCAGGTATAAACCATATAAAAATGCAGATTTCCACTGCATGTATGCAATGTGCTTCGTTAAGTGACAGGAAAAACTAATTGTGTACTCTTTTTCTTTCTTTTTCTCCTTTTTGCCTTTTTCCCTTATTTTCACATTGATCTGCCTATTTTTCTGCTTTTCAAAATGGTTGCTCATTTTTAATGTTGCTTAAACCCACATCTTCTCTTTCTGGAACACAGGTCCAAACCTGCTAGTTAAACAAATTTATAAGTACGTCACTTAAGAAGGTAGCTATGTTAGTAGGATTAATGTTTTCCTAATACAAGTGGGTGGGCATAAGCATGTGGACATTGCAAAGGTCCTTGCTATGTGATCATAGCGTGCTTCATGTAAAAGTATGAATTGCAATGGATAGGCTTTTTCTCAAAATAGTGACAGCCTCATTTGTGTTCCTTCTAATGATTGTCCTTCTTATGCAAATGTTGCCATTTTGTAGTTTCTCTTTAGGCTTCTCTCAGCATTACTTATTCGTAGAACAGAACAGCAAATCAGTATGAACATTAGCCTGTTTGCTGCTTCAACGTGTGTAGGTTATCCCTTAGCGTTCATATTTTAGGAGAAAAACTAAGGGAATCTGTGCTTATTTCGATAGAATTATTATAATTCCTCTAGTAGTAGTCTGTACTACTGTAGTAGTTATACTTCTCACCTACACAAAAGAAAGTGAAAAAAGTAGGAAGTTCTTGTCAGTCTTTTTTCTGTAAACTTTCATTACTTTTTCCTTACGTTGTTACTTTTATTTTGAAGGCTAATGATAACGGAGATTATTTCCCAGTATGGGGAACATGTCTTGGACACGAAGAGCTTACGTATCTCACAAGTGGCGAAATTTTACTTGTTAATACCAAGACAAATGGTTTCTCGCTCCCTCTGAACTTTACCTCAGGTGAAAAATCCATTACATCTCATGTCTGAGTTTTGCTGAGAGGTGGTATATTTTCATGAAAAATATTCAGGGGTAAATGTTTGGGAGGTTTCTGAATATTATCTTGTTAAATTTTTTGTTATTAAGTTGCCTTGATGATTTTGAGAAAGTCAGTGCAGCTCTGCTACTTGTAAAGCAGAGATGTAAGCACAAGCCATTTAAAACCAACATCAGTCAGCAAAAACCACAGTTGTGGCTCTTTGAGTCATTTGATAATTTGGACCTACAAAAACAATGTCCATTTAGGGCCTTTTTTGTTACCAGTTGAACAAAATTCACAGATTCAGAACATGTCAGACTTGGAGAGCAGGTGATTTTAAGTTTTTCAAATCACATCTTTCCTAATGATGAGTATTAACATTACTGTACCATTTGAATTGTACTGAAATCAGAGAGATCCCTTAAGATAGAGCTGTGGCACTCAGCAGCAGTGGTAAAATGTGGCCTCTGTTGATACTTTACTCTTTACTTTATGAGTAGTCCATCTGCAGATCATGTATCATTCACAAGTTCTGTCATTTGTGCGCATTGTGAGTGGAATGGCTGTTGAAATGAGCGTCAAATAACGATGCTTATTTTACTGATAGCTTAGGTAGCAAAATTGGATCCTCTCTGATTCAAGACAGTGGTAACAGCGTATTGGAAATCTTTTGTAGTTATTTCACTGATTTTTCTTGCAGCGTATTCTAAAATAAAAAAGTTTTACTACCAAAACCAGTTTTACTTTAATTCAGCATTTTATTAATTGTCTTCTGTTCCGTATTAGTCCATTTGATAGCAGTTTGGGTAATGGACGATATCCTTTTTCCATTTTTTTTCTTTGTAATAGCTGCAAAAGACAGTAGATTGTTCAGGAATTTCCCTGATGATGTATTACACGCATTTGCTACTGAGCCACTGACATCAAACTTTCATGTATGGAGCCTCTCCATGGAGGTATTTGGTCTTTTTATTTCCTGTGTACAAACTAATTTGTTTTGTTAAAACTAGAAATAAATAAGCAAATAACACCTTTCCCCCCTTCCTTATCACAGAATTTCACAAATAATGAGAAGCTTCGTAATTTCTATAATGTTCTGACGACTAACACTGATGATGAAGTGGAGTTTATATCTACCATGGAAGGTAGGGAAATTAATTTGCTTTGGAAACTGTCACTGTAGCAAACTAGTTCTTTAGAGGTGTCGTGGCATTGATGTTAATTCATATTGCAAGTTGTTAGAATAGCAGGATGAGCATCAGCCCTGTCAATGCTCTGGCTTTGAGGAGGGATATTTGAAGGGATATTTTATCTTTTGAGTACGTAACTGTGAGCCTAATTACTTCTCTCACTCGCTATTCCCCTTCCAAGTATGCTGTTACATTTTAGAACTGGCATATTTGAGTGCTGTGATGTGAACTGCACAGCCCTTGTCCTGGAGTAGTTTAATGCCTCTGCAGAGCAGTGTGCCTCTGTTGCACCTTGCTTTCCATCTGTCTGCTTAGGCCTGCTAGATGCTTGCTATCTGTTTACTGTATGGGAAGAGCAGTTCAGGCTGCTGAGGGAATAGCAACATCCCTCATTACTTTAGTGGCAATACTGGTAACTGCCCTCCTCCAAAAGCCTTTTGCATTACTTGCCTTGTGTTGCCTGTTTAGCACTAGGCTTGCTCAGCTCAAGAAACAATTTAGCTCTTCAGGGAGTGCTTTATCTTGATCAGTGCATCACTAACAGCCCTACAGTAAGGCCCAGCTGTCACCAATGGGATTCTTCTGTGTGGCGTACTGGCTGTCCTCCAAAAGAGAAGAATAGCACTTTGATCAGCAAACCTGATTAGGCTAATGACAGGCATCATCCGTGCCTGCAAGCGGTTTATCACAGAGCAATCATCAGCTGCTGCCCTGCTATTCTCTGTAAGAAAGTTAAGGAGTGACTCCCCCAACATGTATCAGGCCTGCCCAGAGCAGATGGGAGCTGCCCCTGCACTGACTGGGCCTTAAAGGAGATACTAAGACTTGGATCTCTCCCGTGGAACTGGCATCCTGTGTAGCTGTGAGTATTGAATGTTGAGGGATGCTGGCAGCATAAAGGAAGTTTTGAGACTGATACACTTGTAACATTATTTCTAGTGTGTATATATATATATATTAATTCTGAAATGAATAATCAAAAAAGTGATGTACAAATATTTTCTTGCATGGAACGAGACCCTTCTTTTACAGTATGCATTTATTTTCCTTCAGTTCTACTGTGATTTTAAGTGTTCCAACCTGTTGTTTAAGCTTTTGTGAAACTGTTGATAGGTGAGGCATATTTGTAGCTCATCCTTTGAATTTCTTTTGCAGTAAGATTAGGCACATAATTCTTAAGGCATACGCCTTGCTTATATGCTTTATGTTTTGTTGTAGCATACAAATACCCAATTTATAGCCTGCAGTGGCATCCAGAGAAAAATCCTTTTGAGTGGAAGCATTCTCCAGGCATTCCACATTCCCCATCCGCTGTAAGAGCAGCATACTATATGGCTGATTTCTTCGTTAATGAAGGTAAAGAGTTTATTATCTGTAAATGTGGGGGGCAGAGTGAAGCATTAGTGAAAATCTTTCAAGATGGGAGACTTTTTTTTTCAGCTGTCAAAGTTCAGTACCTCATACAGCTTTCTGAGAAGATGACTGCAAGCTTTATAGGCTTATAAAAAATCAAGGGATACAAGAAATAGAATGGCTTAGTGAGAGTGACATCAAAAGGCCAAGCATTCCACAAACCCTTTTCAGTAGACTGGCTCTAAAACATTGTGCTGTGACTTTCTGCCATTTCAAATCATCACTGTAACATTTTTACCTCCCTTGCACAAATACAATAAACCAAAAAAAGTACTCCATTCATGATTCCAGAGGTTTCTTCAGTTCCAAACTGGCTTACAGTCATTCAATATCATCTCAATTTCACTTGCAAAAATGTATGTCACCAGGATTATAACTACTGCTTGGCCAGTATATGGATGTGTCAAAGGGGTGCAATATAGTGCCCAACAGTTGTAGACTATAGACAGCACAAAAAGTTTTTTAATTTTACAGAAGTGCTCATTTGTTTGTTTATACCTAAGAATCTGAAAGTAATTAGTGCATAACATTTTGATGGTTCATGGCACTTCTTGTCTATTTGCTATAAATGAGCAGAATATAAATCCAGGAGTATTTGAAGGAATTAAACTTTAGTCCTTTATTTATCCTTGTTAAACCATTCTGCTGTGCTATTTATGAAGTTGTCTTACCTGATTGATTTGCACTATGAACATAATCATTAAGCTTATTGAGTTTGGTCTCTAAACTTGATCTCTAATCAAAAAAGTCACCTACTTGGAGAAAGTAGACTCTGATTTAAAGTAATATACCTTGCGCTGACCTAGTCATTGAGAGTGTAGAAATGAAAGTTGTGCTCTGTACAAATTCAAGGCACTTTTTTGCATAAAGTAGTCCCACTCATCTTTATGCAGAGGTAGCACAACCATGTAGAATTCTTTGTCAGTATCTGTAAGCTTCCTGTATTTTAGGAATTTTGATGGGGTACTTCTGGCCAGGCTGAACTGGGACTCTGAGCAGCCTGGTCTAGTGAAAGGCGTCTCTGTCTGTGGCAGAGGGGTTGGAACTAGGTGATCTTTAAGGTTCCTTCCGCTGGATTAAGAGAGAAAGAAAAGGGGAAAAAGGAGAAAATATAGTTTGAGTCTGTTTTTCCTTTTGTTGTTTAATACTACAATGCAGTGTGTTTTCTAGTTTTGCTCTCTACTTTCCCCAGTATCTCTTTGCACACTGTATTACCTATAGAAGTAAGCTTGCTCAGGCCATTATCCAAGTAAGTGTGGCAAATCAAGTGCCAGCTCTGCTTACAAGTCCTGTTAAGACACAATGCATGTGAGTTCTGTTATATGTGTTTACACATATGGTGAGCTTGCTCATAGTGCCACACAGATGTGTCTTTAGCTTTTGGATTTGTTGACCTTCAATTCTATAGAGCAGACTTGTTTCAGCCAGCTATATGTGTCTACCCCCTATCTCACCTACCAAATTAGAAGTTATTGGTAAGTTGTTGGCAAGATAAAGAAGAATAAGCTGCTCCTACTGAGTACTTCATATCATAACTTTGTGATGAGTAATTAATGGTTTTAGCTGATGAAAGGTTGAGTTTCTTCCCTAACTTTGAAAATAAGCCACAGGGTAAAAAATGTAAACTATTCTCAGCTGGCAAAAATACACTCATCTGTGACAAATTAATAACTAAACCATTCTACTGAAATGTGATTTTTGTATCCATCCATCATTAATTTGAACTTGTGTAGAGTTGTAATGTGATACTTTCAGTGAGTTGATACTCTGATGCATTTATTTCAGTGTTACAACTGTAGTAATACTGGTATTTCTGGTATATACTACCAGTATTTTGTGGATAACTGTTTCTGTACAGTCTTGGCTTTAGATTTTCCCTCTCCAGTAATAAACTATGCCATAACCAGCTTTCTGGAGATGTTTCTTCACATAGAAGTTGCTGTAATTCCATTTTCTGTGATGCTACACAAAATACTTTACCAAGACAGATATTGTTGAGGAGGATGACAGTAGAATGATCTGTACTTTTACAATGTTTTACAGCCCGGAAGAGCCTGCACCATTTCCCCAGTGAAGATGAGGAAACAAAAGAATTGATTTATAATTATGATCCAGTTTATACAGGAACATTTTCTGCATTTCAGCAAACCTATTTTTTTGATTGAGTACCTTGTCAAAGGTGCAGTGTATCTTGTCAAAGGTGCAGTGGTGTTATTTATAAATGGAATTATTTGCCAGCATTGTGTAATTAAGCTGATATATTGACAGAAAGCCAGAACAGTTTTTCTTTACAATGATTTATTCTGCACTGTTGGAACATTAATATAAAAATTTACACTCAATACCTTAATAATCGTCTTGGATCACACCTTAAGACAAGCTGCAGAAAAGTGCATTTTTCTTTCCAGGGAAGAGGACTTGATTATGCTTATAAACTTGGAAGTAATCACCTTTAGTACAAGGAAAAGCTTTCATATATTTTAAAATATGAGAGTTATCTTTGTAAAATGTTGTGGACTGTGATAGCACTAGACACTTAGATACATTGCTTAGTAAAATCCTGTCCTTTTCAAATGATTTAACAAATGAGACTCTTGAAATTGTCGTACATAAGTGTATGCAACCAATTTCTTGCCAGGGATCTTTTGTCATTTCAAAAATTGGACAAAATAGTAAGGAGGCATGATAGCAAAAAGATGTTTTTGCCTAAGAAGCACGTTATATCCGATTTGTGAAACTGTTTCTCCTGTACATTCAGCATTGTTTGAGTCCTTGTATCTTGTAAAGCCTTCTTAAATATAAGGATGCAGTGTAAAGTCGGCATTGCAAACATCGAATAAAATTAGTAAGTTTGGAGGTCACAGTTAAGTGCTGATTCTACCTTCCGTTCTTTTCAATTCAGATCTATATATCCTCCAAGAACTTGTCTGAGAGTAACTGGAGTCAGCAGCCAGCTACGAGATCAGACATTCATTGCTTTGTATTTAAAAGAATGTAAACCTAAGTTTTTCTCTAAAGCATCTGACTTTTCCTGTAGCTGGATAGAATTTTCACTTGGAGTTGAGAGGTGGTTTGCCATTAACTTGGTAAAGACAGTAGTTTCTTTCTGTCTTGTTGGGTAGCTCAGTGCAGCTAGAATTCAAACAAAAGATGAATGTATGTGAGAAACCTATTTAAAGCAACGTAATGTGATAACAGCAGTTGCATGCAATACACTGATACCTTTTTTCTTTACTTTGCTTTGCACTTAGTGAAAATTTTGTTCAGTGGTGTTGTGTGGTGTCCGAAAAGGAACTAAGATGAGACAATCATATATAACTCTCTTTTATAGCACAGCTTCAAAACTCTTGTTAACATCTGTAGGAATTTGGAGTTTATGAAGAATTCAGGTTTATACCTCAGCTCTGTTTTGTAGAACCTTATATTCTCAGGTACCATATCTGAATAAATCTGGTAAGTTTCTCAGGTTTTTCAAGTAAAACACTCTCTAACTTATTCTCTATCATGAAGCAACTGCATAAGAGAATGTGAAATGCTTCAGTTAAAAAAAAAACTGTAAGGAAACTTTAACTATGACTACCAGAAAGACACTTCCAGGTCATTACAAGCTTAAATATGTGATATTACAGCTTATTTTTACATTTGTCAGATCAGCCATCTTCAGGAAATGTTTATCTTTTTAATATAGGTGACTTAAGTATTAACTGACTCCTGAGTAGAACCAAGTGTAAAAAGAGGGTTACGCTCTACAGTTGCATATAAACGTAGCAGCTAGGGTATTTACAAACCAAGCCCATTCTTCTACTTCTTTTTCAGGCTGAGTTCTTTGGAATAGCTCTAAGAATTTGCCTAAGTAAGGAGGGCAGGTTTTAGCCTTAAAATCAGGGATCAATCTTGCAAGTGAAATCTCTGCTAACAGCAGTGGTAGTAATTAGTTCCTAAGTGTGTAACTATAAGTAATGTTTTGTGTAATATGGTGAGAGCAGTTTATATATTATGAATTTGTATGTGTCTTTCCTTTATCTTATAAAGCCGTACTTGATGATATGCATGATTTTTCTATGATAAATGAAATAAACTTTTATTCAAGCAGGTGTGTATTTTTCTTCTCTTTTAGATACCATGGATAAAGCATTAATAGTCATTGTCTTTTTGTTTCCATCTGTGATAGTCACAAATCAGGAGGCTACAGTAGAGGTTACAAACTGTATCTGCTTGCTATGTTTACAGCAAGTCAGGGTCAGGATAAGTGACATCCGTGGCCTGGCACAGACATACCCACAGTGCAGCTCAGGCTGGGACCCAAGCCCAGGGCCTGAGCTTAAATGCACTTAAATATGGCTGCTGAGCAAGGGGCAGGAACTTTCAACAAGGCCACCCACAACTCATTCTCAATACAGCCTTTTCACAGCAGACCCGTCCCAGGAGCAGAGTGTCAGAACTCGCTTGTGCCATGGGCAGCCAAACCCCTATGAAGGTAGGAAGGACTGGTGGGACTCTCAGGGCTCTGAAAGACATAAGAAAAGAAACTGCTGTCTGCTATGTTCAGTGAAATGAAAACTTATGTCTGTTGCTTATTATACATCGTATCTTCTATCATGTTCTCCAGTCAGAAGCAAACTATAGGAACTCAGAATGAGCTAGCAGTTACCCAATAGAGGATTTAAAATTTTGTTTTAAAGAAGTTTCATTAGACCTTCTCTCTGCTCTAAGTGATGTGCAATATTGTTTTTCATTGCTCAGACAGAACTTCTAATGTTTTTAGAATTCAAGCTAGAGAGAAAAAAAGAAGATGAGGCTGTGGCCATACTCTCATCTTACTGAGAGTCTGGCTTATGAGCCTAATCAATTTGCTTGCTGCTGTGTGGGAAAAACATCCATCGATCAGCAAGGTAACCCCATGTGTCTTGCAGATTATGTTAAATCATGTTTAAGAAGGAAAAGTTTGAAATCGTTTCCTCTGAAGTATTCTGCTTTTCCCACTAGATGGCCTACAAGAACCAGTATTTTATGCAATTCTGTAATCGGGTGTGGTGGTGTCTAAATTTGAGTAAGATACTTACTGTACTGTGCTATGTAATTTTGTACCAGGGTATTGGGGATGTGGGGGAAGAATAAGGGAGGAGACAGAATAACACTGGACTCTCTCTGGCACAGCTGGGACTATTGGCAGGATTGCATGAGAGAGATTACATGAACATGGAATTAATCCATCTGGGATTAAGACTTCTTTCCAGTGAGTATTTAAACCTTTCAAGCATTAGCTGGAGATAACTGGAATGACATCCATCTTTTCAGGTTGTTGTTCCTCCCCTGAATTTGATCTCAGAAAACCTTTTCCAAGGAGGCAGGCAAGACCAGTTTGAATTCCTTCAGGTAAGGAAGAAATTGTAGGGAAGAAGCATCCTGAAAAAATATTGTAAGTACTGAATTAAGCGGTAACAGCCTAACCCACAAGCTTCATTGTGGGGAAAAAAGACCAGCAAACAACGCACCCAAACTACAATCACTTTTTGGCTGGCAAGCTGTGCAAAATTTCCCAGCAAGCTAGTGAGTCCAAAATAGAGATTAGTGTCCAAGCAGTTCATGGCCCTCTTCCTACTTCTGTGCTGAGTAGGTTTTTTTTAGGTTAATTTTTAACCTTTTCCCCTTCAGCAATGAATAAGTGCCACCTTATTCATTGCTGTGAATGCTGCTCAGCAAACCAACAGCAAAAGCTGGACTGTATTGGACAGATTTCTGTAGAAATTAGTGGCCTATTTGGGATGTGGTGGTGCTTTTCTTGGAACAGCAAGAAAAGTATGGGAAGGACTTGAACAACCAGGAGGAACTATAAGGAATTATTTCCCAGTTGGGTGTTATCCCTGTATTGCCCTTAGGAGGCAGGGTCCCTGAGGTGAGAGAAAGAGCTGTGTGTGTAGCTGGGTGGCTGAAGACTGAATGCCAGGGCACACTTAAGAGTGTTTGGATTTGAGGTGGGAGGGTGTACACAAGATTTCACAGTCATTGTTACCACAGTCATTAATTTTTTATTTTATCTGGGGTTGTATTTTGTTTTGGTCTTTTTTTTCTTCTGTGGAGGTCCCGTGTATGTATCTGGTGGTGGTTTTATCAGAAAAGCTATGTGAATTGGCTGGGGTCCAAGACCCATTAAGGTTTCTAAGTGCCTTTTCAAATTATTTTAGTTTGAGTACTTACGTGGAAGACAGATTGACATACACTGTGAAGTGATTGATTACCTTCCCTTGTTAGCCCTCTTTCCCATGGCAGACCTCTTCTCTAATCCAGTGCTTATTTATAGGGCAAATAGTGAAGTATATTCCTGCCCGCCCAGGGCCACCTGTTGTTAAGGATACTGTTCCAGCTTTCATCACTTCCTCATTATGTTTATATCAGTTTCATAATCAGTATGTTTTAAGAGCCAACTTCCTCTGTTAGTTTTTATATAACCAAAAAATTTCCAAGACCCTTTCATCCAAAAAAAGTTTAGATCATTTGAAAACAGCTGTCATTATTTGGAGGAGCACTTGAACAAAGTATTTATTCCGTATTTAAGCAAAAAACTCTCAAATTCTCTGTGATTCTCAGAAATGCAGTGAACAAACATCCCTTGCAACTAAGCTTTCTGAAAATGAAAAGCAAAAAGCAAACAAACAAAAAGGTTAAATGGAGTAAATTCTAGAAGCTGTTACTCCTGATCATCAAAATAATTGGGTTGAGTACTATTAGCCTGTGGGCTGGTTTTGGCTGGGGTAGAGTTAATTCTCTGTACAGTAGCTAGTATGGGGCTGTGTTTTGCATTTGTGCTGAACACAGTGTTGATAATTCAGGGATGTTTTTGTTATGGCTGAGCAGTGCTCGCACAGAGGTAAGGCCCTTAAGGCCCTTTCAGTTTCTCACCCCTCTCTGCCAGTAATCAGGCTGGGTGCACAAGGAGCTGTGAGAGGACATAGCTGGAACAGTTGATCCCAACTGACCACAGGGATATTCCATTCCATATGGCATCATGCTCAGCATATAGATGTCGTGGAAGGAGGAGGAAGGAGAGGACATCAGGAGTTAAGGCCTTTGTCTTCCCAAGTGGTTGTTAGACATGATGGAGCCCAGCTTTTCTGGAGATGACAGAACACCTGCCTGCCTATGGGAAATGGTTATTTAATTTCTTGGGTTGCGATGCTTTCATGCACAGCTTTTGCTTTGCTTTTTTAACTGTCTTTATCTCAGCCCATGAGTTTTCTTGCTTTTTCTCTTCTGATTCTCTCCCCCATTCCTCTGGGGGGGAAGTGAATAAGCAGCTGCATGGGACTTTGTTACTGGCTGGGGTTAAATCACAGCTGCTTGTGACTATGTAGCTCCCAAACTGCCTTTGATGGTCTATTTCACTGTGTGCTTCCAGTTATACGAGTCCAAGAGCTGATATTGTATGTGTGTAGTTTTTTGCTGTTTCCTGAAGAATAGAGCAGCAAAACAAAAAGATTAAAATAGCAATTTTCTAGCTAGAAGCACAATAGGAAATTAGATTTTTCCCTGTGACTTCCTGATGCACCAATATAAACAGGCTATAATGACTTGAACTCAACCTCAGACTGGGAAGTTTGAACTTCACATACCTATACTTGACTGGCATTTCCTAAGCAGTTCTTGCACTAGGCTAACTCCTAAGGGCCTGGTTTTTCAAAAGACAATGAGACATATTATTGTGATTAATTAATCAATTATTTTTATTAGGTACTAATTGTTAATACTATCACTAAATTTTATTAATAGTAATGCTGTTATTATTGGTGTTATGGAGGAGACACAAAGTAAAGTGAATAGTTTACATAATTTCTGAGATTTTTACAAAGAGTTCATGGCAGAATGGAAATAATCCAAAGATTTTGGCCAAACCAGTTGTCACTCCAGCTGGAGCTAGTTCTTTGAATCCTTCTAAGCTCCTAAATTCATCAGCAGCATTTATACTGTAGTACCATTGATGAAGGACATTTGCAGCCCCTCAAAACAGGTCTAACCATATCTTGTTCTTTCAGAGGGAAAGAGAGAAACGTGAAAGACCTTATTACCTGCTTTGCTTTAATTTGAGGAATTTGTACTGATGGTTTCTCATTAATATTTACAAGAAGAATCTTAGTCCACCCTTTCAACCAAAAGTATCAGTAAATCTTTTGTCTCTGGAGTTATACCCACGACACTTTTGTCTCTTAATGCCACTAAGGTGATCACAATTTTCTCTTACTAGGAACAGAAGCTAGTTCACCCTCCAGTCACCAGTGGTGTTCCCCAGTCACCAGTGGTGTTCCCCAGAGGTCAGTGCTGGGCCCAGTCCTTTTTAACATCTTTATTGATGATTTAGATGAGG